ACCTTCGGGTTCTGGTGCACATGTGCACCCAACAATCAGCTGGCTGGCATGCATGCACACACTGGTTTTCAGCACTGCCGCGCGCATGAAGGACAGCTGATCATCGCACACGCATGCGCGCCAGAAACCCAGAACACAAACAGGCAAGGCTGTGCGTGTCGGGCGACATGGCTTCGCGTGCCACTTTGGGCACGTGTGCCATAGGTTCGCCATCACGGTCATAGGCGATACAGCCAGGATCAATGAAAAGAAAAGCAAGGGACTGGAGCTGCTTTAGAAATATCTCTTAAATCATTCTAGGATGAAAATCGTAAATTTTATTTACAGGTAGTCCTGACTTAAGTTCAGAACAATTGAACCCAAAGTTTCAGTTGCTAAGTGAGGCACCTGTTAAGTGGGTTTTGCTCCATTTTGTGCTTTCCTTGCCTCAGTTGTTAAGGGACTCACCCACAATTGTGAAGTTAGTAACGCGGTTGCTAAGTGAATCTGGCTTCCCCGTTGACTTTGCTTATCAGAAGGTTTCAAAATGTGATCAAGTGACCCTGGGATAATTCAACCGTCATAAATATGAGCCAATTGTCAATTGTCTGATTTTTGATTATATGGCCATGGGGGTGCTCCCAACGGTCGTAAGTGTGAAAAACAGTCATATGTTACTTCTATCTTTCCCTATGATTCTAATGTATGTTGCCTATTTGGCAGGTTTCTACAGGGTTTCTAGAGGGGATGCAGTGGCTCAGTGGCTAAGACGCTGAGCTTGTTGATCGAAAGGTTGGCAGTTCAGCGGTTCGAATCCCTAGTGTCGTGTAACGGGGTGAGCTCCCGTTATTTGTCCCAGCTTCTGCCAACCTAGTAGTTTGAAAGCACATAAAAAATGCAAGTAGAAAAATAGGGATCACCTTTGATGGGAAGGTAACAGCGTTCCGTGCGCTTTTGGTGTTTAGTCATGCCAGCCATATGACCACGGACACATCTTCGGACAGCGCTGGCTCTTCGGCTTTGAAACGGAATTGAGCACCGCCCCTAGAGTCAGGAACGACTAGCACATATGTGCAAGGGGAACCTTTAGCATTACCTTTACTATACCTGTATGTGGTTCATAAGCCAATTTCAGATTCATTTTTTTAAAAGAGTGTGCTGCACATGAACCATTCTGCCTTTTCCACAATTTGCCACCTTCACGTTTGCGAAGAAACTGCTGGCAAATTAATTCAAACTTCTCTTAATTGCTCAAAGATATGACTGCATGACTTTTAGTAAGAAGAAAATGGGTTTGGGCAGGATTTTAAAAAATGAGTGGATCCCCTTAAGATAGAGATTTCTTTGTTGATTTAGCAAGCCAGAATTGTTAGTTTGCTGATTCAAAGCATTTCCAAGGCTAAGCCATGATTTCAGCTTCAGTCTTAATTTTTCCAGCTGTTGGGAATTCCTTGAAATATAAAGGCGTTTATCTATAGGCAGTTACAGACAAAGCAATGTTTGTTAACCTAGTGATTGACTGTGGCGTGAAACTTTTCGTCTTGGTTCTACACTTAAAATAAACTAAGCAGCAATGAGTTTCCCAGATGGGGTGGAAGAGCAATTCCCAACCTGGAAAATGCTAGGTTGGAGAAGAAGATCTGGGAGGGGGTGTCAGCAGCCTCAAAACAACTTGACAGGCTCTTTGGGAAATGGAAAATGGTGATGGGTTTAACAGCAAATTATAGCCTGATAAATTATTACTTGCTCGGGGCTTCTACATAGGGGTGGGCTGCTGGGAGTTCGCAGGGATTCGGGAAGAACTTCTAGTGCAGTTCAAAGAACCCCCAAATCCCACTCCTGCCTGGCCCTGCCCATACCACCCCTCCCAGGAGTCCCCACATGGCCCATTTTGGATACAGGTAAGTGCAGGGTGCACGCGAAGGCGGAGGAGGGCGAAAAATGGGCCTACCGGAAGTTCAGGAAGGCCCTTTTCCGGCCTCTGGAGCCTGGGGAGGCTGTTTTTGCCCTCCCGGAAGCTCAAGAAAAGCCTCCGGAGCCCGGGGAGGGCAAAAACGCCCCCTGCTCGCTGTGGTGAGGAGGCTAACTAGGCCACGCCCACCATAGCCACGCCCACCCAGCAACCGGGCAGAGAACTCCTTGCTAAAATTTTTGAAGCCCACCCCTGCTTCTACAGTATATGTAACGAACTTTGCTTTCAATTCCACTGTCCTTGGAAAGAATTTAGTCTATTCTTAGGTATTCCTAATCTCTTAATAGGACTACAAATTCAAAGTGCCTTGGTTTGAGAGATACAGAATAAAAATACCTCCAGGGTTGATCTTTTTTTGACGCTCACTGACATTATCAGAGCAAAAACCTTTTGACAGGTTTATTCTCCCCACGTTTCTCACATTGTAACATGCTTGCGGAAGAAACGTAAGTCTTAATTAAGCAACATCTGGGTTTAAAGTTTAAAGGGTATTCCCCTTACAGTACTGTACTCCACAAGCTATCTGTGGCTCAGCAGATATTGTTGAACCACAGCTCCTAACGTCCCCAGCCATCATGGCCAATGAAATGAAATTGGAATTGAAATTCAGCAACATCAAGTTCCCATCTCAAACCATATAAACTGGTTTGTGCAGAAATGCATCTCGCTGCGTATCACAGCTGGATTCAAGTTTAGAAGGATATTCCAGAAGCAGACAGCCATTAAGATTGCTAGCAGTTTATTTTAGAGGGTACATGACTGGAACCAGTGCCAATCTGTATTAAAAATGAGAACAATCTGGAATACATAATCATTTCCCCCCCTCATTCATAAGGAAAGTTAGATCCCTTTCACTTTAGACAGAAGTTTCTTTGTTCCCTTAATACTGTTGTGTTTGTTTTTCGAGACTTTTCCCAAATCCATGTTCCTTGTGTTTATATTATACATTATATATGTGTATATAATAATAAATTAGCATCCTTTCTGTACACAGAGGCCCAGGATGGCTTTTTGTTTAGAAATTCCTTTCCAGATTTTAATGTTTGTCACATAAAAGACTTATTTAATTAATTATGAAAACCGCTGTTAATATTACACAAGGGGGCAGATGGTGGTCCCTATCTGATTATTCATGCTGCTAGCAGACAAATCCCACAAGAAGGGCCAAAAACTGCACACTGCATGAACATATTCAAGTAACCTTTAAGTCACTGGAGCTCCCTCGGTTTCCAAAATGAAATTCAATGGTTTAGGTCAATGATGGCTAACCTTTTCCAGACCGAATGCCCAAAGCACTCCCAAAATGCAATGTGCGCACAATCCCTGTGCATGCGGCCGCCCCCATGCATACGCGTGTGCCCCCACGCATGCTACCCGCCCCCTCGCACATACATGTGCCCCACTCACATGCATGCACGAGCCCCCCCAGCGCACATGTCCCCCCACATGCACAGCACAGAGCCGAAAACCAGCTGGCTGGCGGGAGGCGCATGTGCAGCGGAGCTCAACTGGGGTGACAGCACGCGTGCCATAGGTTTGCCATCACGGGTTTAGGCATTCAAAGACACTTAGCCCAGAAAAGCCAAATGCACAGGTGTAGAATAGAGATGGTACGTGACTCAATAGCAGTAACTGCGAGAGAGTTCTATTGGACAGTCGCTTAAATATGAGCCAGTAGTGTGTTGCAGCCACCAAAAATGCCAATGCAATCAATCCTAGGTTGCAGTTAACAGAGGGATAGAATCGAGATCACGTGAGGTATTAGTACTTCTTTATTATTATTATTATTATTTATTATTTATTAAATTTATATGCTGCCCTTCTCCGGCATATAAAGTAAGATCCCATTTGGAATATTGCATCCAGTTTTGATCGCCACAATAAAAAAATAATGTTGAGACTCTGGAAAGAGTTCAGAGAAGAGCAACGAAGATAATTAGGGGACTGGAGGCTAAAACATAAGAAGAGTTGCAGGAATTGGTTTTTCAATGAAAAGGAGAACTAGAGGTGACATGATAGCATTGTTCCAATATCTAAGGGGCTGCCACAAAGAAGAGGCAGCTATTTGCTATTCTCCAAAGCACCAGAAGGCAGGACAAGGATCTAGAAATAAGGAGAAATGTCCTGACGGTGAGAACAATTAATGAGTGGAAGGGCTTGCCTTCAGAAGCTGTGGGTGCTCCATCACTGGAGGTTTTTAAGAAGAGGTTGGATAACCATTTTTCTGAAGGGGAGTAGGGTTTCCTGCCTAAGTAGGGGGTTGGACTAGAAGACCTCCAAGGTCCCTTCCAACTCTGTTCTGTTATTCTGATTTGTATTTACATTTGTATTCTTACCCTGGTAATTGTCAGGATGATTACTGACGGTGAGTTACGGGCCTTTCTTTTAGGAGAGCACTCACGTACTGTATATAAACAATATTTTTAATGCTCTTGAAAGTTCCCTTTTAAACTGTTGGCTCAGCCTACCTCCAAAATTTATTCGATAGAAAATTGAATTACCCTTTGTCTCTCAGGAAAAGTGGCCTTTAAAGAGGAAATCTGTATTTGAAGCATATTTCCAGCTCTCATAATTGGTGGCTAATATACTAATGTGTTAAACATCTCCAAAAAAAAAAAAAAATAATCTGCCTTCTGTAAATGTCCTTCTGCAGTCTGTCTAAAACATTGGATTTATTAGTTTGATGCAGTCTTAAGATGAATTGCTGCCGATTAGAGACACCTGCTGGCAGAACGTTGGAACTCTTTGGCAAATGTTGAAATGAGAAACCAAAACAACTTTTTCCAAAGCTGGGCTTTGGCTAAAACTTGCTGAAGCTGCTAATGTCATTTGGGATGTTTTGTTTTTTTCGTCCTCCTGTTTACATTACATGTGTTCTTGAAAAGCTATAACCTATCATAAAACCCCAGTAACAGCAGACATATTATCCTAAACTGACTGACTGGAAGTCTGCGAGAAATAAGCTGTAAAGACTGCAATGTTCGAAACTGCCTCTATCGTGAGGTTGTTCTTGGTTACTCATACCCCAAATATGTGATTTTTATTTCAGAAACAAAGACGGTTTGAAAGGATTTACATTCTCCGCACTAAAGTAAGTGAACCCAAACAAGTCTCTTCTTTGCAGCGTGCCTGGCCAACTCAGATCAAGTGAAAGTTTGTGCAAATGTAATCTGTGATGCACAAGCAACAACACAACCCCGTACAGCAGAAGGTGGCCATTCAGAAATGGAGAGCCAAAGTCCTGGTAAAACTTGTCTTTGAATTGCAGTGTGAATGTCATCAAACCACTGCTATAATGCTAATTGGGTTTGAATTAAATGAATTCAGCTTTAGTTTTCCAGCTGTGTTCTTTTTAGATAGCATCTATGTCACTGCACTTAGAGAACAAGTGGAGCCTTCAAACAAGATTATGGATGGGGAAACAGGGAAAAAATTAAATAGTATGCAAGACACATGTATTTAAGTTTCTTCTCAAAGGTGATGAGGCTTCTCCTAAATTTTCAAAGGACTAGGGATATATCTTTTGGGGATTCATTTTTACTGATGGTTTGGGGGTTTTTTTGTTTTTTGTTTTTGTTTTTTTTGGAGAGAGAGAGAGAAATGTGCAGCATCTAAATTTGACAGACAAATATTTCGTGGGGGAGGGCTACAAGACTAGAATTTCATTACAGGTAGTCCTTGACTTACGACATTATTGAGCCTGAAATGACAATCGTAAACTGTGCCAGTCGTTAAGGCGGACACGATGTGACTGTCTGAGTTTACAACCTTTTTGAATCTCTGCGTTCATTACACAAACGCCATGTCATTAAGCAAATCTGTTCTCTGCAATGGGCGGGTTTTTTTTTTTTTTTGACAGAAACCAGAAGTAAACATCAGTTTCTGACAATAGGTGTCATAGATCGGTGATGTGACTGGGGATGCTGCGAACAGCCATAAATGCACGTGATTGCCAAGCGCCCAAAATGTGATCACGTGACCATAGTGGCGGGAGCATCAGAACTTTGAATCCGGCTCATAAGCAGCCCTTGAGAGGTCGCTAAGTTTGAATAGTCACTAAAGCAACCGGCCATAAGTCAAGGACTACCTGCATTATGTTCTGGCAATTCACTTTCTCTTGGTTATCTCATTTCTGTATTGGACGGCCACAATATATAAAGTTGTTATGACTTCACAGAAATGTGATTTAAAAACAGATATTAGTACTTGTGTATGTTTCATATATAGAGAAGTACCGTATTTTTCGCTCCATAAGACACACTTTTTTGTCTCCCAAAAATGTCTGTGTGTCTTATGGAGCGAATATTGCCAAAGCCCCGCCCACCCACAGACCCCCACCCTTCAGCCGTTTTTGGCCTCCACATGCCCCGTTTTTGGCCTCTGTGTGCCTCATTTTCGGCCTTCACAGTTCCCGTTTTTGGCCTCCACATGCCCCGTTTTCGGCCTCCGCTTGCTCTGCGAAGGAGGCCGAAAACAGGTCGCATGAAGGCCAAAAACAGGGTGTGCGGAGGCAGAAAACGGGACACATGGAGGCTGAAAACAGTGCGCGGAGGCCAAAAACGGGAGTGCGTCTTATGGTCAGGTGTATCTTATGGAGCAAAAAGTACATTACATGCTTTTTTATAACTTTCCAGACTGTCCTGTCATCATCACTAATACATTTACAATAGAATATTAACTCTTATAATAAGCAGGGCTTCCTGTTTTTGAAAAATAGCACATCGTTTCATGCGTATGTAAAGCTAACAAGTCAAGCAACAAGCTAATACGTTTAAAAAAATCCTATAAAAGTTTAAAACTGTAAATATCTATCTCGCCTTATAATATAATCGGAAGCAGTTGCAATGTACATTATAAAAGGAATCGTGGAGCTCAGGTAGCTAATAAATGTGTTCTGTTTTCTGATCAGATTCATTGTAGGGAAAGAAGAAATTCCCACCCATTCTTATGTACCGGAAGGAGCTTTTGTAAAGAAAGAAATCAAAATAAAACACTGCGAAGATCTAACGCAACAAATGAATTTTATTGCGGCGACAAAAAAAATCGTGGACAATATGTGAGTATTGTAATGCCTGTTTTCATCTGAACGTAATCTTGCACAATGGTAACATTGCACTGCCTCTTCTTTTTTTATATTGACCCCAATATTTGTGCTGATTATCTGAGATGTTTAAACACCTCACTCTGCTTCCATTATATAGCAGTAGCACTTAGACTTATGTACTGCTTCACAGTGCTTTATAGCACTGTCTGAGCGGTTTACAATAGAATAGAATTAGAATAGAATTCTTTATTGGCCAAGTGTGATTGGACATACAAAGAATTTGTCTAGGTGCATTCGCTCTTGGAGTACATAAAAGAAAAGATACATTCGTCAAGAATCATAAGGTACAACACTTAATGATAGTCATAGGGAAACAGTCAATATAAATCTCAAGGATACCAGCAACAAGGTTACAGTCATACAGTCATAAGTGGGAGGAGATGGGTGATAGGAACGATGAGAAGATTAATAGCAATGCAGACTTAGTAACTAGTTCGACAGTGTTGAGGGAATTTTTTGTTTAGCAGAGTGATGGCAATGTCAGCATGTTGTCACTAATAATCTGGGTCCTCATTTTACTGACCTCAGAAGGATGGAAGGCTAAGTCAATCTTGAGCCGGTCAGGATCGAACTGCTGGCAGTGAGCAAAGTCAGCCTGCAATACTGCATTCTAACGGCTGCGCCACCACAAGGAACACTTTCTATGCATACTTACATGTTTTCATTTATTCATGTTTATTTCACATCTATTTTGGCTTTAGATGGAGAAGTTAGATTTTAGGTCAGGTTTTTTTCAATTAAAGGACCCAATTGGTCTTCTATAAATTGAGGGCCAACTTGGTCTAGTCGTGGTTTAAGGCACCAGCAACCAGGAAAGTGTGAGTTCTACTCCTGCCTTATACATGAAATTATAGCCGAATGACTTTGGGCAGTTACTCTTTCTCAGTCCCACTCACCTCACAAGGTTATTGTTGTGGGGAAAATAGGAAGAGGAAGGAGTACAGATAATCCTCAGTTTATGTATAAATCCTCCACATTTGAGTTCCAATTTTCTATTGGTAAGCAAGACAATTCTTAAGTGACTTTTGTTCCATTTCACGACCTTCCTTGCCACAATTGTTAAATGAAAAACTGCAGTTGTTAAGTTAGTAACATGGTTGTTAAGTGAATCTGGCTTCCTCATTGATTTTTGCTTGCCAGAAGGTCACAAAAGGTGGCCATATAAAGCCCACTGCAACCATCATAAATCCATGCCAGTTGCCAACCATCCGAATTTTGATCACGTAACCATGGAGATGCTGCAATGGTTATGTAGTGTGAAAAATGGTCATGACTTATAAGTCACTTTTTCCAGTGCTGTTGTAACTTCGAATGGTCACTAAGTCGAGCACTACCTGTATTAGGTATGTTTGCCACCATAAGTTACATATACAAATAATAAAAGCAGGATTAAATAAAACCTGCGCTCCGGATTAGAATGGAGGAGCTGAAGTAGAATGACTCTAAAGTAAAATGGAGGACCAGCCGGTAATAATGTCTTATTCTTGGTGGTTTCCGGAGCAGAAGAGAAAATACATCAGATACATATTTACTGAATTCTCTTTACTGAATTTTTACTGTCTGAATTCTCAAGATTCCTGGTGCTCGCCCTATGACTAATCTAAAATTTTTTCATGGTATTATTTCCTTGAGTGAACCAGCCTGTGAAATTCCAGAAATAAAGACCCAGTGTTCCATTTTTAGCAGGCATAGACTGAAGACCTCAATTTGGTGCATGTTTGGATCAATCCAGATGAAAGGTAAAGGTTCCCCTCGCAAATATGTGCTAGTCGTTCTCGACTCTAGGGGGTGGTGCTCGTCTCTGTTTCAAAGCCGAAGAGCCAGCACTGTCTGAAGACGTCTCCGTGGTCATGTGACTGGCATGACTAAATGCCAAAGGCGCACGGAACGCTGTTATCTTCCCACCAAAGGTGGTCCCTATTTTTTCTACTTGCATTTTTTACGTGCTTTTGAACTGTTAGGTTGACAGAAGCTGGGACAAGTAATGGGAACTCATCCCATTACACGGCACTTAGGGATTTGAACCACCGGACTGCTGACCTTTCAATCTGCAAGCTCAGCGTCTTAGCCACTGAGCCACCGCAAAACTTTATTCAACAGCTAATCACCCAATGCATAACAAAAAGCTATCAGCACCCAGTCAGTAGCTCCATCAGTTCCATCACCGCAGGACTTTAAAAAAAGAGTCTTGAACATTCAGCAAACAAGGTGAATAAACCTCCTTTGGTATTTCTAATGTCCCATTTGCACATGTCCCCCAAAAAATCATTGAGTTCTTAATCTTAATCCTTTTATCATATTTCTCTCCCATGTGTTTCCTTTCAGATATAGCTAAGTCTAAATGTCTGTAACTCGATCATGTCCTCATTACCATTTTTTTGCTACACAAACTGACCTGATGGATGATTTATGACTAATATACACTTTTTGCAGCACATAATTCAAAGCTTACAAAAAAAAAAATTGGCACAGTGTGAAGATTGAGTAATGTTGTTTTGTGCTCCGACGGCAAATATTTGAGCACAAGAAAATTTTAATTTCTAGAACCAGGATCAAATTGATTTCCTTGTAATTCCAGCTGATAATGTTAAACAACTGGACAGCCCTCCCTGAGGTATTTATCATTTTCAATTCCTCTGCCAGTTTTCTGTCATAAAACTGCTGGAATCCCACATTGACAGAATTTGCACCGTTATAAACGCTCATGGAAAGCAACGTCCTGCGAGCTTGGAAGAATATAAATTTGGCAGGCTTTACAGATTCTCTGCTGGATCGGAAAGGCAATAACATACAATCTCCCAACTAACTTTGGGCCCTTTTTTCTGTGATATTTCTTCAGGGAGGTGTATATAACACTGCCAAACGCATTCCTGGCTACCTGCAGATTGCAATTTTATTCCATAAAATTAATCTAGAAATGAGGATTGGGGTTACATGGTCTTTAGGGTGCAACTCAGTGGTGAAATCCTCTGAGGTGTGCTACCAATTTTCTGTGTGTGCACATGTGCGGTGCACGCCAAATGCACACTTCACGTGCATGCACACCGCAGGCGTTACCGCGCAGCACTGAAAAAGGAGGCTTAAGAAGGTAAGTAGAACAGAGAGGGGAGGGAGAACAGTTGTGCCGCGTGATTTAGATTCACTAGAAAGCAGGATTTTCTGCTTTCTAGTGAATATAAATTGTGCGTCACAGCTGATTGTTGGAAATACCGGTTCGCCTGAACCGGTAGCATTTTTTAACTACCAGTTTGTCTGAACTGGTAGCTTTTATTACTACCGGTTCACCTGAACCAGTCTGAACCAGTAGCATTTCACCCCTGGTGCAGCTGTAAGATATCAACTGACATTTTTTTCCCCCTGTCTGGGATGATTATGTTGTTCACAACCAAGTGAAGGCATGGGAGGAAGTCCCAGGCTATTTTTCTGTGACAAAATGAACACATATATATTCATACATTCTTGCACTGCTATTTTTTTTAAAAAAAGATGCAGACGGGATTGATGTTGGAATTAGTAATAAGGCTGAAAGCCTAGTTTTCTGACACCGGATTACTATCCAAAAGTATAATTAGAAAGTAAACAAGTAAGTAAATACCCTTTCCCCCCCAAAATAAGACATCCCCTGATCATAAACCCAATCAGGCTTTTGAGTGCATGTGCTAAAATAAGCCCCCCCCTGAAAATAAGCCCTCCCCGAAAATATTTAAACTCATACACCACCGGCCCCCGCCATTTCCTCTGGTTAGGGTTAGTGAGACAGAGCTGGAAATCAGGTGAAGAAGGCAAGAGGAGCCCCATCTTGCTCCATGCGCCCCAAAATAATAAGACCTCCCCGAAAATGAGGCCAAGTGCTTATTTTGGGGTTCAAAAAAAATATAAGACAGGGTCTTATTTTTGGGGAAACACGGTAAAGACAGATAAGTCATTCGAAGTTAAGGTGGCAGTGAAAAAAAGTGACTTAACAATAGGTCCTCACACTTTTGACCATCGCAGCATCCTTAACAACCATGTGATCAAAATTCAGATGCTTGGCAACGGGCATGCATTTATGAGAGTTGCAGGCTTCTGATCCGTTTCGAAGTTCACAAAGTCATTGGGGGAAAAGCAGATTCCCCTTAAGAAGTCTGCGATTCACTTTAAACATCGGCAGTGATTCCGCTTAACAATTGTGGCAATAAAGGTAAAACTTGATACAACTGATGAGATGATGATGTTACCTATTTCATTTGGGTAATGAAATGCCTGCGAGAAAACAGGCAAGCTCAGAGAGCACCAAGGGCCCCCTCATTGTTTTTAATGCCAGCTCCTGGAGAACTGGGACAAAGTATCTTGTTTGTTTTCTGTTCTATTAATGAGTTTCTTTGCGATATCCCATCGTGAGCTCTAGAACAAAGCTTTTGCCCTTATTGTATAAAATAGGCCATGTTTTCAAAACTTACTGTTACAGGTATCCACATCTAGGCACCATAAATAAAAACTTGATAAGTACAAAGAATGAAGTACTGATAAGGAGGAGACTTCGTATGGAACACGTAGCTGTGGAATGCAGGCGAAATCTAGCGAGTCAACGTTGTTTTGTTTGCTTTTTTCAGATGCAAAAATGGTCCCAGGCACAGATGCTGTAAGCACTACGAAGATAATTGCATCTCATATTGCATTAAAGTGAGTCAACACCAGCCCTTCCATTCGTAGATATAGATACCTAAAAATTAACAGGGAAATAAATGAAACGAAATGAAAGGGGTGATGAGGTTGTTCCTGCTCTTAATTCCCTAATCCGTGGTCTAGAAATGGATATGGTGACCTAGAATGAATGTTAATTGTACATGATTCTTGTCAGATAGTCTCTCAAGCCATGTCCTTGTCGCTTGAGATTATGTGGATGCCGCAGTGGTAATTAGTACACCGTAGTTTATGGCAGATATAGGCAATAGATCAGGGCAGGGGTGAAATCCTACCGGTTCGGACAGGTTCGGGCGAACCACTAGGGATTATGGGCATCAGTTCACTGAACCGGTAGTAATTATCTTTCCTTGGCCCCACCCATGCCCAGTTGGTCGCCGCTCACCTCTTCCCGCCGCTCGATATTCCACAGAATTCAATATTAAATTTATTTATTTTATTTTTATTTTATATTGGATTTCTATACCGCCCTTCTCCCTAAGGACTCAGGGCGGTGTACAAATGCAGCAGAGAGACTGCTAACTTTTCTCCCTCCATTCAGAACGGAGCTGCTGCAGCCTGTCCCTTGAAGGTAGCCCCCAGGAGGGAGGTGGATGCGGGGAGAGCAGCTGGAATGGAGCCATTTTTGTGAAAGGCAGGAAAACAGGGAAGGGAATTTTCTTGCCTGTCATCCATTCCTCAATCTCAACACAGACTGAGGGAAGGATGGTAGGCAGGAATATTCCCCTCCCCATTTTCCTGCCATTCATGACAAGCAATGGCTGGGAGGGAAGGGGTCGGTGAGGAGCCCCTCGAGTTGAGTGAGTGATGTCGAATTGGCCACGCCCACCCAGTCACATGACCTCCCCCAACAATCCACCCCTACAGAACCAGTAGGGGAATTTTTTAAACTTCACACCTGGACCAGGGGTGTCGATTTCATTGTGGGCCGCATCTGGTTTGTGTTTGACCTCCGGGGAGGGGGGCAGCATGGCCAGGATGGATGCAGCCAGCTCGACGTCACTCGTATCAGAGGCACCTCTGGTGGCACAAGCAGTCTGCCAGCAAAAACAGAGCTTGTGAGGGCTGCACATGGCCCTCCCGAGCTCCATTTTGGGCTACTGTTCTGTCCCTGTCCCACACACGCACCCCCACAGATGGCCCGGAGTTAATAAGCCACACGACAAAGTCTTTGAAGATAAAGCTGGCAGCAACCCAGTGGCTAGCTGCCAATTCAGACTTTACTCACACAAAACAAAGATTAGACTGCAAGCATTCCGATAAAGCAGGCAAAGTTTCAGCAATACAAGGATTAGTCCAAATGCAGTCTGACAAGGCAGGCAGAAGTCCAGTAACGCAGAGATCATGGATTATTTCTAGTTTTTGCTCGTCACAAACTGAGCCGGCCACCATACCCACATTTATACCCTGTGGGGTGTGGTCCAGTGACTCAGCTAATCTCTGGCACGCCTTCCCCTCTGCTGCGCACGCTTCTCCCTGCACTGCTCTCAAGGATCCAGCCAGCACTTATCTCCTTCGTCGCTGTCCACCTGTGGCTGCGGGGACATGCTTGGCTCTGGGTCTATCTCTTGGCCTTCGGTGTCCTCCAGAGGCATTGCCAGAGAGGAGGGTCCTGGAGAGGGAGGCCTTGCCAACTCCTCTCCTTCACTCTCAGAGTCTGCATCTGTCGATAGCCCAGGCTCAGGCAACGGAGCCACAACAGCTACGATCGCTTTCTGCAACCCTCTGCCAGTAAAAACAGCGCTCGGGAGGGCCACAGGCAGCCCTCCCGAACTCCGTTTCTGCTGGCAGAGGCACTGCCGGCCAGTCCTTCGCTGTTTCCAGGGCGGCCCCGCGGGCTAGATCTAAGCACCCCAGGGACCTGATTCAGCCCGCAGGCCTTGAGTTTTGACATCCCTGCAATAGACAAAACACAGGCAGTCCTCTTTTTTTATGCCATGAATATCACTATCCACCAGTTTCAATTATTTTTGCTTCCAATAAACCATTCAATGGTCAAATTCTGTTCCACTATTAGTGAGAGAACTGCATCGTCATAATACCCCCTGAACATATGGATCCACATATGGATCCACAGGCGGAAAAACGGATGAAATTTCTGCAACTCAGTATGTTGCAGAAAGCCCACCAAATACAGGCTCTGTATCATAGTTAATTGTGCCATCGCTAACTATTGGGGGTGAATCTCTGCCCCCCACAGAGAGGGCTCGCAATCTGGGTGTCCTTCTGGATGCACGGCTGTCTTTAGAAGAGCATATGACGGCCGTGGCCAGGGGGGCCTTTTATCAGGTTCGCCTGATTCACCAGTTGCAGCCCTTTCTGGATCGGGAAGCCCTACGCACGGTCACTCATGCCCTTGTTACTTCCCGGTTGGACTATTGTAATGCTCTCTACATGGGGCTCCCCTTGAAGAGCACTCGGAGGCTCCAACTGGTCCAGAATGCAGCCGCGCGGGTGGTTATGGGCGCAACTCGTTGTGCCCATGTGACACCCCTCCTGCGCGAGCTGCACTGGCTCCCAGTGGTCTTCCGGGTGCGATTCAAGGTGTTAGTTACCACCTTTAAAGCACTCCATGGCATAGGACCCGGGTACCTCCGAGACCGTCTTCTGCCACCAATAGCCTCCCACCGACCAGTCCGTTCCCACAGGGAGGGTCTCCTCGGGGTGCCGTCAACCAAGTTATGTCGACTGGCGACGCCCAGAGGGAGGGCCTTCTCTGTGGGAGCCCCAGCCCTGTGGAACGAACTGCCCCCGGAAATTCGTAAGATCTCCGACCTCCGGGCGTTTCGCTGCGCACTGAAGACCCTGTTGTTCCGCCAGGCCGGACTAACAACACAATAGTTTTTAAATTGGGATATTTAAATTTATTGGGGTTTTAAATCTGAGCCACTTTATTTAATTATTTTAAATTTTATATTGTTGTTTTCTTTGTGTTTTTAAACAGGCTGTACACCGCCCTGAGTCCTTCGGGAGAAGGGCGGTATAGAAATAAAATTATTATTATTATTATTATTAATTAAACTGTGGTATGCAAATCTCATTTTGGTATGTCAGCTATGTGTCACCTGCCGCATATGGGCGGAATATATGGACTAAAACTGCCTCTTGTATGTTAATCATCTTGGATATGTGTACACACGATCTTTAACAGCTATCTGCAATTCCCAGGGATGTGAGTGGGGTTTTGTTGTGCAGCACTTAATAGATGCCACTGGGTTGAGGTGTAAGACCAGTTGTGCGCACAAATAAAAATGTTTACATTCTTTTTTTACTTCTTTCTTTCTTCTATATGAAAGTCTGACTCATTTGTATGTTAGCTGCTTAAGCGTTCAACTTAAATTATTGCTTTGGAAAGTTTCGGACAGCTCCATAGATGCTGAGAGATATAAATAAATTGGATTGCAATAAGGAGTTTTGATCAGTACGCCTATCTTATATTTTATACAGGTAGTCCTCTTACTAGCGAATGTTCAAACTTAGAATGAACCCCCCAAAAAGATACTTATGAACTGGTTCCAAAGTTCTGAAGGATAACACCCCCACTCCGTGATCATGTGATCACATTTCAGACCCTTGGCATGTGACCCACATTTATGGCTATTTGCAGCATCCTATGGTCACATGACCAGTTTACGACATTCCCCTCCCCCCCCCGAACCAGGGTTTACTTTTTACTTCCGGCAAAAGCGCCCCATAGCAAACAATAGGTTTTGCTTAACGACCACTGTGTTTGCTTAATAACCACCACAAAAGCGTAAATACAGGTTGGCCACCTGTTAATGATCCACTTTACAACTGTCACGACTTATGACAATAATTGGCAGGTTCAGTGATGGTTGTAAGTTGAGGACTACCCTAATTCCGGGTGCCTTAGTGATGCCTTTCCAAAGAATTCTTTCTCCCAAGAAATGTCTCGTCTTCTTTTTAAGGTTTTCCTCCAAAAGAATAGGACACATTTTAACCAATGCAGGTTCTTCAACCTGCAGAGTACTCAACCTTGGCAACACTAAGACTTGTGGACTTCAACTCCCAGAATTCCCCAGCCTGCAGTTGAAGTTCACTGGTCCGAAAGTTGCCAAGGTTGGACACCCCTATCTTTAGAGGTATACATTCAGGGGTGGGATTCAGCCGGTTCGGACCGGTTCGAGTGAACCGGTAGTTCCGACGATCAGCTGGCCCTGCCCACCCACACCCGCCCTATCCTGTCCTATATTTCCTTCTTTCTGGCTCAGCTGATTCGTGCAGCACAGCTGATTTCTTTAGAGGTATACTTTCAGGGGTGGGATTCAGCCGGTTCAGACCGGTTCGGGTGAACCAGTAGTTTCAACGATCAGCTGGTTCTGCCCACCTGCACCCGCACTGTCCTGTCCTATATTTCCTTCTTTCTGGCTCAGCTGATTTATGCGGCACAACTGATTTCCGCACCTCTGCTGTTCTACTTACCGGGGCTGCCTTAGAAGGTAAGCAGCTGAGCTTCAAATTGCTGTATTTTGAACGCTGCACATGCGTGAAGCGCGCGCTCACCGAACTGGTTATTTTGAGTAGAGATTTTATCCCTCATAATTCTATAGCCAACGGACAAGCAAAATGGTTTTTCCCAGCCTTTATTTATTTTGAGGCATTTACACTAACACAGGGGTCAGCAACCTGCGGCTCCGGAGCCGCATGTGGCTCTTTGGGCCCTCTGCTGCGGCTCCCCGTCAGATGGTCCCACCACTGGCTGGCCCCGCCCCTCACCCTCCCCTCCCAGTCACTCCTCGCCTGGCCTGAGAAGGTAAGGGCGATGGTGGGGGATGGGGAAGCGGCCACGGCAGAGACAGAGAGATACAGAGAGTGGGGAAGAAAGAGAGACATAGAGAGATACAGAGAAAGAGGGAGAGTGTGGGGAGATAGGAAGGGAGGGAGGGGAGAGAGAGAGATGTTAAAAGGATTTTGTGGTTCCTGGTTTTTTTTAACAATTGGTTCTCTGCCCTAATGAC